TATTGAAAATAAGGAACTTTAAAAATTTACAGACACAGCCATCTTAAGGGACAGTCTTATTAGGCAGGTATTTGAGTGCCAGTCAATAAACGGCTGAAACATAACTGGAATCAGTATAGGAAAGTTAATACATTGGTCCTGATTCTGCTGAAGTTGTCAGCACCCTCCAGTGGAAATACGTTTTAAAAAACCACTTTAATAACACAGAACTTTCTCAAATTTATTTTTACACAGACGCATTATCAGTCATCGAAACATGGCAGTTACAGAAAGTGACATTTTGAGACAGTAATAAACAGTGTAGTATTTCATTTTATTATGTTAAATAAATGTAAAACTTTTAATATAGTTTGCGGTTTCATTCAGAAAAGCAATACAGAACAAAACAAGAACAAAAGGAAACCTGAAAGGAGAACAAGGTCCATAGCGTGTCAGAAACTACCCATACAATGCTTCTGCTTTGCCTGGTAAAATAAAATATATATGAGGGCTTCCATATTTAAATTCTACTAATGAAAAGTCAAGTCATTTCTGTTATCACTAAATGAATACTATACAAATATTTAAAGAATAATAATTTGAAAATATGCCAAACTTTTAATCAGTGCAGAATACCAAATTGTCAGCCTTAGGACGCCCACATGTTTTCCTCTGCCTCTAAAACTAGAAAGGAAATTAACCAGAAGCCCTCTTCAATATTTTACATTAACCTGGGTAAGCATCTCTTTTCAGTCATAACGATTGTATCATAAATCTCAGTCCAAACTTTAAAATTTTAAAATTACTAAAATCAGATTACTGTGTGTATTAAAATGTAAAATTATTTATAAATTAAAACGAAATCAACATTTTCCCTTCTAACTTTTCACTTTGGTTGATTTAATGGCACTATAATTTCATCAGTACAATAACCCAATTCATTTAATAATCAATTTATGATTTGTTTAAATTTTATGTAGTTTAAGGGCAAAGAACTGAACACATTTTCTCCCTGGAATGTTTCTCATCTAAGTGGGAACAATAGCTGTAGGACTACTGCATTTTTGCAAAAAGCACAGTTCCTTTTTACATAGAGATTTTTCGAACGAAAAAATAGATCTGTCTGAATATGAACATATATGATAGAAAAATATTAAATTGTAAATGTCTCCTCTTCACCTGCAGAGGAGGAAATAGTTTATATGTTGCCTGGCAATGAACTTTTTGTTTCTTAGTAGGGTAAAGCCTGGAGATAAAGTATCAGAGAGGTCAAATTCCACTACGTGAGAAAAAAAAGCTGAAAAATACAAAGAAAAGTTCTTAGAGAAGGGACAAAGCAGCATGGGTGGTCAGAAAAGCAAGGGCAATGTGGAGGACTGTGGTGTTGTCGAGCTTTATTGTGCATCAGGTTCACCTGGGAATCCAGCAGAATCGTAATAGATTATTACATGAATGTTAAACATAGATGGCTTGGCTCCACACTCAGTTTCTGTTTCACTAGGTCTAAGGCATGGCTTTAAAACGTTGCATTTCTAACAGGTTCCCAAGTGATGGTAATGCTGCTGGTTCAGGGACCACACATTAAGAACCACTGTTATAAAGGATATTTAAGAAGTTTTGCTCCGGGTTGTCAGGTATGGCTTTCTAGATGACCAACTGTCCCTGTTTGCTTGAGATTTAGGGATTTCCCTGGCCTGAGACTTTTAGGGCTAAAACTGGAAAGCTTCCAACAAACCAGGAAGACCCCACCCCCCTACACACACACACACCATATCTTCAAGATATTTTCAATAAAGAGCTAGAATACTTGCTAAAGCTTTTGAACCCAAACGTTGTGTTTTCCTTTTAATCGATTAATTAGTTTAAAATTTTATTTCTTTTTTTCTCCTGATATGTTCAGATTGGCCTCAAGGCTAGAGTTGCATTTTGTAGGTTATCATCTATGATTTTGGCCCACGGTGCAGTATCTAGAACTAATTGCCACCTAGACCTGAGTAAACCATCACTATGACTACCAAATGGTTCAATAAGAGGCAGGATGTTATTGGGCCTTCAGTGTGAGGGGTTACACAAATTCCTCAATTATTATAATTCGAACCTGTGGGAAAATTTACTGTTCAGAAATGAGTGTTTCACACAGTTTAGTATATGCATTGTTATGTGAGTTCATCAAATTAGGAATGTCTGAATTGATCAAGATGGGCTAGGTTATATGAGGGGTATTCAAAAAGTTCATGGAAAGATTTGTACTATCTTTTAATTTTATTTTTTTCCCTGAGCTTTTTGAAGTACCCGCATATGGCAGTAATAAATAAAAAAATCTTAATAGCTTAAACCAACAAAGACATATTTCTTGCTCAGACTAGCTATCCTTAGATTCTCATAGAAATTATCCACTTTTCTTTGCCATAACTTCTTATATCAGAATTTAAATATATAGCACAAAATAAAGGATTTAACTGATGTTCAGTAATGATGGGATTGTTCATCCTAGTGATGACTCTTTCCCACAAAATAAACATCTGTGGAAAATGGAGGTTGAAATCCACACACGAAAATATAATTTGAAAGTTCAGGGTGATCCAGTTTTAAAAGATAGGTCTAATAAGAGTAACTTACTTCATTAAAATCCTCGTGGAGGATTTAATGGGAGGTCTTGATTTAGGGGCAGTGGTTGGGAAAACCTTTACATGTTATCAAAGATGTGGTAATCCCTAAATAGAAAAGTGACAACAGCTTCATCAATTTGTAGATAGTAAAAATAATTTGTTAACAAACTAGTGGATTATTCTGTGAAGACCTCTATTGGACCCACAGGGTTTCTTTACATTCTTAGGTAATATGTTTCTCATTGATGGTTTGAAAATCTCAAGATTTTATTCAGTGGCTTGAGATGGTACCCTGGAATCTACTTTTTTACAATGCTTCCCAGAAGATTTTGGTGTAATTAGTCTGTAAAGCAGACATTAAAAAAAAAAATGAAACCTGTATTTTCAATTTGGTTGATGGAACCAGGGGGGTGCAATGTAAATTTGAAATTATTGGGACTAGTGAAGCATGCAGTTCAGTGTAAATTGTACATTACTTTAAAGTTTAATCAAAATATTTTGACCAATCATTTGGCACATTAATTATCTTAATTCCATTCAGCTATTAGGCTTTGGCTGATTAGCACATGAAGAAACTCTATCTGGGAGGCTTGCACTTACGCCCATGTAGAATTATGCATAAAACTTATGTCAATTACTACAACTGTGTATACAGATACAGGTTCTTCTTTGGAAAATAAATGAACTTATTGAAATATAATTTGTACACAATAAAACTTACTCATTATTTTAAGCCATAAGGCTATGGAATTATTTTATTATTCTCAGTCTGACATTCTAATTCATACCCCGGCTCTGACACTAATTTACTATGTAATTTCAGGTAAATCACTTATTTTAACTTCATCTTCTTCCATAAAAGTAAGTCAAGTAGATTATTAAGAAAGATCCCTAAAAGTTCTAAAATCCAATATTTTTCTTGAAAATTAACTTGAAGGGGTTTGTGGAGTATGTATAGGGGTCAGAAGTTTGATGTAACCTCTTGGTGGAAATTACTATGGAGTGAAATGTATAGCATAAACGTCCAGCCTTGTTCTATTCCCTTTGAAAAATACCCACTATTTCTAGGGAGGTCAGTAAGCTGCAGGGTATGTATACCACAATTGAACAGGTCTGGGGCCAATTACTTGTACATTATATCAACCTCTTCAAGACTAAATCACCTAGAGATGATCTCAAATAGATAATTACAATATGCACTCAATAATAAAATGGGAGATAATGGGGAAAACAAACCTACCACATCAGAGTAGGATCTTAACATAATTTTATTCCAGTAATTTAAATGTTTCCATCCCACTCCACATTAACCTCCTACACCTCTTATCATTGAAGAAATCACAGAGACTGAATTGAGAGGCAGTCAGGTTAATCTGAGAAACTTTATTAAATTGTGAGAGACTGAATTATCTTTGACCCAGAGAAAGAGCTGAACCCTGAGGTTTGCAAAGCTAAACAAACCCTGTCTCGTTTCTGATGTATTCCTGCCAAAGGCAACCTTGCTGAGGTTTTCTGTGAGGTCATTTTTCTACAAAGCATCGCCAGCCATGCTCAAGGCAAAATTACAAGACGAAATTTATCTTCAGCATTCTTTGAGTAATTTCTCTCACCTTCCTCCCCAAACCCCCAATCCCAGAATACACAGGAATTGTGTGAAGCCTATGCAGCCTATAAAAGCCTACAACTTTAAGTGAATACTATATGAAAGCCATTTTTAGGGTTACAAACACATGTGATACGTAGTGACATCCATTAAGATGTTCATGCTTATGATTTAGTAAGAGAAACAGAGCAGCGCGATAGAAGTATTAATAAGAACAATCAAATTTACAGGCACAGAGAAGCCTACCTTATCTAAAACACCCCAAATTCTAAAATAATTGGTTCCCTCAACTCGCACAGACTACTGAGATCACGCTACCGTAGTGGACTATGAATGCCAATTTAACTAAATCCCTCCTTTAATCTAAAAAAAAAAAAAAAAAAAAAAAAAAAAAATCTAACTGGCTAGTTCATTCATCAATCAAGGATCTTTGGTCCGTCAAGTTTTATTCTAAAAATTTCATTATTTGTCCCGCACCAACTCTGTCCTCCCACTTTCCAAAGTGATGGAATGAAATGCCTTGGAATCGAAGGCTTTAGTAATTCGGATCACTGGAGAGAAAAGAACCGGGAAAAGAAATGCACAAATTTTTGAGTTTGGGGATTGCAAACATGGGGAAAGGGCACCATCTTCTGGTTAGATATGGGAAGGAGCAGGAAAAAAGCGGACCCCAGGATAAACAGCTGGTTTCTTTCTATTTATTTATTTACTTATTTACAATTGAAGCATGATTCATTATACATATTTTGGGGGTACAGTATTGACTATCAGTATTTATACACAACATATGTGATGATCAAATAAATACCAGCAATAAGCCGCCCATCTTTCGCGCAGGCGCAACTCGAGACCCACCCCGCCTGGAGGCTCTGACCACTCTGTGCGCCGCGGGCAATGTGATTGACAGAGCAACAGTCCGGTCTCTGACATAAACTCGTCACTCCGGAAGCTATGACCCGATCCTTCCGGGTCTGCGCTCTCCCAGCATCCTTTGCCTTCCGGCTGTGGTCTGCCCAGTCCGGCCAGTCCCGCCTTGCGCGCCCATTTCGAGCCCGAGTTTCAAGCTTTGTTCTCCAGGCTGATTTTTCCAGCAGAGGGTTCTTGGGCAGTGGCTATGGGGGCAGGAATGGCGCAGCTGGAAGGTTACTATTTCTCGGCTGCCTTGAGCTGTACCTTTTTAGTGTCTTGCCTCCTCTTCTCCGCCTTCAGCCGAGCGCTGCGAGAACCCTACATGGACGAGATCTTCCACCTGCCGCAGGCGCAGCGCTACTGTGAGGGTCATTTCTCCCTCTCGCAGGTGGGGTCACCAACCTGTCCCCACCCCGGGACAGGCCAGAGAGGGCCCAGCGTCCCCAGCGCTCACTTCTCTCATCCTTATCCTTAGCCCTCCCCGTTCCACCCTGCCGGCCTCGAAACGTGAAAGGAACGGGGTAATCTTTTATTCCTGTCTCTCAGATCTGTGAAATCATTTGTTAAATGAATGAATAAATAGCAGATCTGTCTCCTAGGAAGGAATGATCTAGGAGAATAATTAATGGAGAACTGAATTACTGCTCCTCCTCTTGACAACTGATGATACCTATCCCAGTTTGTCTTCCCTGGTCCCGGGGTTAGAGTATTGGGGTAATCCTTGGAAACGTCAGTAGACTTCACTTTAGCTCACCTGTCGGTCACCTCACTGTGTATTTTGGGAGTGGGATAGGATGAGATGGGAGGATCTTTAGCCGCCAAAAAGTGACAGATTACACTATTTCCCTCCCTGGGTATTTTTAGGAACTTTCTGTTATCTGGATAAACTGGCAACCAGTCAAGTCGCATACTTTATATATATATATGACTACACAAATATATAGGTACAGATACAAAAATAAAGTATACATATTATCCCTCCACTTCTGGTGACACAATAACAGGTACTGGTTAGAAATATAAATCTGTTATTAGAGAATACCTGATTTTAAATCTTGGTGCTGTTATTTACTAGTTTTGTGACGTGTACAGATACAAAAATAAAGTATACATATTATCCCTCCACTTCTGGTGACACAATAACAGGTACTGGTTAGAAATATAAGTCTGTTATTAGAGAATACCTGATTTTAAATCTTGGTGCTGTTATTTACTAGTTTTGTGACGTTAGAAATTTTCTGAGTTTCAGGTTACTCTTCTGCCAAATGACGGTAATAATAGTACCTGCTATAGGGTGTGTTGCAAGATTAAATACAGAGGTTTAGCACAATTTTTGGCCCAGTACAAGTTAGCTGTCATTATGTAGCCTGTGGTCCAATCTCTCTAACCACTTCTTTCTAAACTCATCAGAGTTCCAATTGATGTTTTCATGCTTTTCAAAACTGGAGCATTTGCAATTTAGTTACCAAAGTACAGACTCTCTAAAGAGCAGGTTTTGGAAAATAGAAAAGGATTTTAAGTTTTCTTGTCTATTGGTTGCTGATACTTTAACAATTCCAAAGCAGGTACATGGTCAAAATCTAATTTCCTTAGAGGAGACATCTGATCAGACAAGGATTTATTTAAACATGTCATAGAATAACTTCTCAAAATTCCTGTTTTGGTATTGATTGTTGGTAAAGATGAATCCTGAGCTTTACGTGTTTGTGTCTGTCCTGTCAGTATTACTTCTTGCTTTTGTTTCATTGTTGGCCTTTTATTTTTAAGTGGGATCCTATGATCACTACATTACCTGGCTTATACCTGGTGTCAGTTGGAGTGGTCAAACCTGCCAGTTGGATCTTTGGATGGTCTGAACATGTTGTCTGTTCCATTGGAATGCTCAGATTTGTTAATCTTCTCTTCAGTGTTGGCAACTTCTATTTACTATATTTGCTTTTCCGCAAGGTACAACCCAGAAATAAGGTATGTTTCAAAATAACTTATTACAAATATGTGCATTCAGGTCCACAATTATGATCAATTGGTTTTATGGGATTTAGGGGAAAATGTCTTTAATACTTAGCATATATTTTGCAAGATAAATGCAAGTCTTCCACCCCCATTTTAGAAGAAGTTTGTATTTAAATACTTGAATAACTTACTTATTTATAAAATCTTTAAAGTAAACATTTGTTAGTGAATCAAATCAGCTCAGTAAATAACTGAGCTTATTCCAGGTGCTAGGCCCCGGGACTACAGAGATCAATGAGGCAGTCTTTTCTTTGTAGAACTTACGTTTTTATTAGGAGAAACAGACTTTACCTGAGGAATTTTGAAGTTATTTAAGAATGTAGGCCCTGGAGGTGGATTGCCTGGGCTTGAATTCCATCCCTGCCACTTACTAGTTGTGTTATCTTGTGCAGGTTACCCCTTAGTGGCTCATGTCTTCAACTGTTAAATAGGAATAATAATAGAATCTACCTCATAGAACTGTTATGAAGAGTAAAGGAGCTTAATGAATGGAAGGTGCTTAGAATAGTACCCGCAATGTAGTAAGGACTGAGTTAATATTAACTATAATTTGTTTTTAACCTAAAGGTGATTTTGATGGTGTCAGTTATGAGAGATAGGCTTACAATGCTGTGAGAAGCAGAGGAGCACTTATTGCAGCCTGACTGGGAGGGAGAGGAGTGTAATGCTTCACAGAGATGTTGGCACCAGAGTTCAGCCTTGATGAACGGATAGTACTGTAGGGTGGGGAATTAATTCTGGCAGGAGAAACAACATAAGCGGAGGTAGAAAGGCGTTGTGCAACAAGGTGCAGGGAATTGCTGTTTGGTGTTACAGGATTTTAAAGTAGAGGGATCTGAGGCTGGAAGAGTGGGTGGGTGTGATGTTATGAATGTCCTTATATGGCACGGAGAGGACTTTGAACTTTATGTAGTAGGTGAAGGAGAGACTTTAACTTTAACCAAGGAATGCCGTGGTCTGATCTGGTGATTTAGAGTAAGGGGAGGATACAGTTCAAGGAGATAAGATCACTATCATATTCTGAAATAGTGTGTCAGAAAGGGCAATAGAAATTTAACTTTAGGCTTGGTGCACTATTTCAGGAAAATCCTGTAATTTCATCGTGAAAAGTAAAATTGCTGAGTATGTTAATATAAATATTATATGCATATTTACATTCTTTCTTGTGTAGAGTTTTGAAGGGATATCCTTAAAGGAAATTGGTGATGGTGACTAAATGAATACTTACTGAGGGTGCTAAGACTTAAGTTCAGGGAAATGGAGCCATCTGCACTGTGTCCTATTCATCTCCATATTCCTCATAGAACTTAGTTCATTATCTTCACTCAATAACTCCTTAACTATTGTTGAATGATTCAAAATATTTTAAGGCAAGAAGCTTTGGCACACACATGTATTATTTTAGTGACTTCCAAATGGATACATGTATGTATCCAGGAAGTACCAGGAAAAGTGCTTGTGAGTGGCCTTCAAAAAGTTCATGGAAAGGTATGTATTATCTTTTAATTGTTTTTCCATGAACTTTTTGAAGTACCTTCAGATAATGTGTTTTTGCAAAGCCAGTGTTAAGATTAGTATTGAGTAATTGTTTAATAAGATTCAAATCATTTTTTGATTTTTAATATGTCTCTTCATTAGCTCAGCAGAAATAGTGTATTTGTTTTATTGTGAAAATAATTTTAACTGTTTTTTCTTCCTTTAAGGCTGCTTCAAGTATCCAGAGAATCTTGTCAACATTAACACTAGCAGTATTTCCCACACTATATTTTTTTAACTTCCTTTATTATACAGAAGCAGGATCCATGTTTTTTACTCTTTTTGCCTATTTGATGTGTCTTTATGGAAATCACAAAACTTCAGCCTTGCTTGGATTTTGTGGCTTCATGTTTCGTCAAACAAATATCATCTGGACTGTTTTCTGTGCAGGGAATGTCATTGCACAAAAGTTAACTGAAGCTTGGAAAACTGAGCTACAAAAGAAGAAGGAAGAGAGGCTCCCCCCTATTAAAGGACCATTTTCAGAATACAGAAAAATTCTTCAGTTTCTTTTGGCTTATTCCAGGTCCTTTAAGAACTTGAGTACACTTTTCCTTTTGACCTGGCCCTATGTCCTTCTGATATTCGTGTTTTGTGCTTTTGTAGTAGTTAATGGTGGAATTGTTATTGGTGATCGAAGTGGTCATGAAGCCTGTCTTCATTTTCCTCAGCTATTCTACTTTTTCTCTTTTACTCTCTTTTTTTCCTTTCCTCATTTGCTATCTCCTAGCAAAATTAAGGCTTTTCTTTGCCTAGTTTGGAAACGTAGAATTCAGTTTTGTGTGATTACTTTAGTCTCTGTATTTTTAGTTTGGAAATTCACTTATGCTCATAAATACTTGCTAGCAGATAATAGACATTATACTTTCTATGTGTGGAAAAGAGTTTTTCAAAGATATGAAATTGTGAAATATTTGTTAGTTCCAGTCTATATATTTGCTGGTTGGAGTATAGCTGACTCATTGAAATCAAAATCAGTTTTCTGGAATATAATGTTTTTCATATGCTTATTCACTGTTACAGTTCCTCAGAGACTGCTGGAATTTCGTTACTTTATTTTACCTTATATTATTTATAGGCTTAACATACCTCTGCCAGCCATATCCAAACTTGTTTGTGAATTGGGTTGCTATACAGTTGTTAATTTCCTAACCTTTTATATCTTTCTGAACAAGACTTTTCAGTGGCCAAATAGTCAGGACATTCAAAGATTTATGTGGTAATGTCAGGGATATTTTGAACTCTAAAATTAGATTTAATATTTAGATTATCTCTGCAGTGAACAATAGAATTGGTAGAAATTATGGAATTTCTTTTAGGCATAATGATGATCCTCAGGTCACATCGGATTTCTTACATATGTTTTAAACATATATTAAGCAATAAAGAGCTGAGAAAGTTTAAGACCTACTTCAAAAGCCTGAATAATGGCAAAACATTACAATTATCTCATGATAACTCTTTGACATTGTTGGCCACCCGGAAAGCTTGGCAACTTTTCATATAAACAAGTTTTAAGAAAACTGGGTATGCTTCATAGTACTAGAACTACTTTAGTAATTCTCTTAAGAAATAAAATTGAAAAATATTTCCAAATGATCAGATAATATTCTTGATTCGAAAATTGCTTAACATTTCAGTACATGCAATTTTAACCTTGTCAGAATAGAGTCATATTAGAGGCCCATATATGTTTATCTAGGAACCAAGTTGTTGGTTTTTGTTTAAAATGTACAAACCTGAAGCTCTTTCACTGATTCCTAATATGAAATGTATGATGGCCAAAGATAAATTGTGTTGGTTATAAAATCTTTTAAAAGGCGTTTTCTTTCTGAAATACATTATTGTATTAATTTCCTAGGGTTGTCCTAACAAATGACCACAAACTGGTGGCTTAAAAAATTTTCTCTCACAGTTCTAGAAGCCAGAAATCTGAAACCAAAGTGATAGCAGGGTATGTTCCTTCTGGAGCTTCTGAGGGAAAATGTGTTTCATGCTTCTCTCCGTCCTAGCCTCTGGTGGCTGTCTGCAAATCCTTGGAGTTCCTTGGCTTATTGACACAATCACTCTAGTCTCTGTCTTCACGTGGCCTTCCTCCCTGTCTTCTCTTCTTTCTAAGGACAATGTCATTGGATTTAGGGCCCATCCTAATCCAGGATAAACTCATCTGGAGATCCTTAATTTAATTATACCTACAGAGGCCCACTTTTCCAAGTAAGGTCACATTCACAGGTTCCAGGTAGACATTTTTTGTGAGACACTTTTGAATCTGTTGCACAGTTACTAAAAGGACATTTCAGGATAAACCTAAGATTTTTAGAGGATAATATCTTTGCTGAGATCTTTTAAATAAAATTTTATCTTAATTACAGCTTTACTACAGCTAAAAGTAACTCGTATTTGATTCCATTATACAGTAAAGTTAGAACTGAAAGGAAGTTGAAAATCATTTGATCTAACCTTATTTTGTAGATTAGAGAATTGGTGGGGTAGGATTTTTTTGTGTCAGTTTGGATTCTGTGTTTACTATTTCAAGGCATTCATTGGGTTGTCATTCCATTACAAGAAAGTATTTTGGGGGCATGTTAACTTTAACAAAACATGTCAACTCAGAACTGTGAATAGAACTCATCTTTTAACGTAATTTTCACTTCTAAACTTTTAAAAATAACTAAATTACTTACCTCTCAATGTTGTATTAGGCTTTTTCTTGGTTTTAAATAATGAGTGTGTCTGGAAAGTTTTCTGCATTTGCAAATATAAAATTGCGTGCAGGCAAGAATTACAGGTAGTGTTTTGAGTAATAAATACGGAACACTCTTGTACTCTATTCAGTACTTAGAAAGTAGATTGACTCATTAGTTACAACAGTGATTGTAGGACAAATCTGTTTTACCCAGGCTCTTTTTCTTCTTGATTAGAAGAGAAACCACACTCAAAGAAATTATGCTTTTACCATGAATTATAATGGAGATCTAAATCCAGGAAGTCAAAATTGAAAAAAAAGTGTGTAATTTAGGAAAAAAAACATTCTTGTCTGATACTATTAATATAAGGCTTTTGTGTTTAGGAATATTTCGAAGAGGAAAAATCTTTCCACTCTGATATAATCTG